ATTACAATTACAAAGAAACATACGAATTAACAAACAAAATTAAATAAAAAACAGACAAACAAACAAACAAACGGGCAGACAAGAAGAAAGACAAAAAACAAACAAAGAGACAGACAGACAAACAATCAGATAAACAAACAGTCAAACATACAAACAAACACGCAGACATACAGACAGAAAACAAACAGACAGACAAACAAAAAAACAGACAAAAACAGAGACACACATACAAACAAACAGGAAGACAGTCAGAAAGACAAACAGACAGACAGGCAAACAAACAGACAGACAAACAGGCAAACAAACAAACAAATAAAAAACAGAGAAAAAAATAAACAAACAGACAGACCAACAAACAAACAGACACATAGATAGGGAGACAAACAAACAAACAAAGAATCTGCTCCCTTAGTGATACTCCGTTTCTGCTTCTTCATAATTCCAATGATTCTCAATTACAATTACAAACAAACAGACAGACAAACAAACAAATAGAAAGACAGGCAGACAAACAGACAGAAAAACAGAAACAAACAAACGGATAAACTAACAATCAATCAAACAAAGAAACACACAGACAGACTAACAAACAAACAAACACACACATAGACAGGCAGACAAGCAAACAAACATACAATATGCATATTTAGTGATACTCTGTTTCTATTTCTTCATAATTGCAATGTTTCTCAATTACAATTACAAACAGACAGACAAACAAACAAACAGAGAGACAAACCAAACAAACAATCAAACAAACAGACAGACTGACAGACAAACAAACAAACAAACACACATAGACAGGCAGACAAACAAACAAACAATCTGCGCCCTTAGTGATACTCTGTGTCTCTTCATAATTGCAATGATTCCCAATTACATTTACAAACAAACAAACACACAAACAAACAAACAGACAGGGGGACAGACAAACAATCAGAACACAAACAAATAGACACATAGACAGACAAACAAACAAACAAACAATCTGCTCCCTTAGTGGAACCGTGTTTCTGTTTCT